ATCTACTTCCTCGAGGTAGTTGGCGGAGAGAAGGGTGTCTTTGGCTTCATTCGTCGCCACTGTGTGGTGGGTCTTGACGCCTGTCGTCCCTTGGACGAAAGATCGCCAAAGGTTTGATGAGTTTGTACTTGAAGGCGAGTTGGGCGACATGTTGAACTTTGAAGAGCGGATGACTGGCGATAATCAATTGTGGCCTACTAGGGGTTAGATGGCCATGGCGCAGAGGTGGATATCTATCATATACATGTATGAGAGTGGAGGTAGGAGCTCTCCAACAGCTGTATGAGCCTTTCTCGCGTACGAAGATAAGTTATTGCAGCTAAGGCTGAAGAGCTGAAAGAATTCCGCGTAGATGCCGTTCCCAGTAAAGCGAATCCAGCCGAACGCGGTGCGGACACAAGAATTAACAGATGACTTGACACGTGAAGATTACCTTCTTGTATAATCTTACATGACCTTTGTCAAAAACAGGAAATCTTCTTCAAGTTTTGTTTTCATAGCCGATAAGATACCACATGTGAATCAAACAAAGACAGCCTCGAGGGCCGAAGCAATCTGAGACAACAATGCCGGTTGAACACGGCGAGAATTCTTCGCAAGGACAGGTAAGTTTCCCCCTCCCTATCTCGGAACGGCTCGTGGCTAGCGGCAATGGCATGCTTGAGCGCGTCTCCACCCTCGCACCAAGTCCCGCGTTCGGCACTCCGTTATCTCAACTGAACCCGTGCTTCCAGCTCACCAAGCATTCCACGACGCGTACTAAAATCATGTGTAATTGAGGCCGACCACCTCAAAGTCCTATTCCCGTCTCCGGCGGCCCAAGATAACTCTCCGCACTGGTCTTGTTCACCGCCAAGACGATCTTCTCAAGATAGACCTCTGGCGAATTAACCTGCCAACGAAGAGTATGCTTCCCCACGCCCATCCGCGGCAGCTGCACGACCTTTGTCCACACATGATCGGCCACATTTTCATTCCACTCTGGGGGGGTGTCACCCGGCGTAGCAGGGTCGCCAAGCACGCGTGTGAAGTTCGCGGTGCCGCTACCCTCAGCACCGTCATCCGCCAGTGCGAGGGAGAATTCCATTGGGAGGTTTGGGTCTGTGTCGAGCGCACCGTTGATGTAGACCGTGGCGTTGATTGTTTTCGAGATGTTGGAGAAGATGTAGATGTCGTAGTCCACCCATGCGGCACGAGCTACTTCGCTGGACTGTCGAGCGGCAGTAAATGGTCTCAGGGCGACGGATCCTGATTCTGAGCGGGAGCCAAGGTGCTCGATGTGCGTGAAAGCCACGCCAGCATCACTCTCAGACTCGGCGGATACGCGTTGGTAGTGAGGCCCCTCGATGGATATGAGGCCGGCTGTCTCAGGGAACCCGACGAAGCCCTCAGGGGCATGATGGTTCAGCACGGGAATATGGATCAAGTCAAAGTAAGGAGCCGGATCCCACTCCACGCGAATCGAAACGGTCTCGTTGAACTCTGTAGGTACCGAGTCCCAGTCAATGGAGACTTCGATTCTCTCCTCAGGTTTGTCATCGGATAAGACGCCGAAAGTACTGGGCACAAGAACCCAAGGGTAAGGGACCTCCAGCGTCCAATTGATGTACTTTCGGTGATCGCCACGGTGAAACAGCTCGATAAGTCGGGATTTTGGCCCGTGAGGTTCCATAGCCGGCAAGACTGGGGAAAAGCCCTCGTCGGTTGGTAATGCCGGATGGATAGAGCCACAAATCCGGCCTTGTCGGTAGGCGCTGAGGGAGTCCTCGACGTATATGCCGAGCTCGCCGACGCCCCAGTCGAATGCTTGCCGTTGTTGGACATATGAAAGGTTAGCGACCACGTCGCTGGATGAGGGCCGCCAGTCCGTGAGATCCATGTCGTACTTTGGCGTAGTGAGTAAGCCTTTCCATTTGCCGTCCAGCATCGTATCGTATTCTTCAGTGAGGTCAAAGTCATCGTCAAAGTGCTGTAGAACCTGTTCCGCGATCAAGTTTGCAGAATTCCGCCTCTCATAGCTGTACTGTCTATTTCTTCCCGAGCTGATCACGATGAAATGATAATGATATCCGATCAAGGCGGGATACGTGAGGATATGGAACAATGCGATGCGACGATCCTCTGGCATGGCCTCGTGTAGAGCCTTAGCCTTTTCTGCTAGCTGTCTCCAGGCCTCGAGAACGCGTTCTGCCTCGCGGTAGTTAAGGATAGAATATGTAATGGGTTGTAGTATCTCGAACTTGCGCATCCCGACCAGGTGGCTGTACGTCATGAGCGCAGAAGAGATCTCTTCGGCGTGCTCCGGACCAAAGTCACGAGTTGCGAGTGCCGTCAGGTAAGAAGGTATTTTGGCAAAGCCGAACCTGCTCGTGTTCCATGCCATGTCCATGGCAAAAGAAAGTGGTAACTCGTTGGGCTTGATGTCGCCTACGTTCATGACCCAGATTCGTCGGGTGCCGCGCTCGTAAGCTTGAGATAGCTCTTTGTAGACTTTAGGCTGAATGCGAGTCAGAAGTCTTAGTTATCCTACGATATTTTCCTCGACACTAGAGTGGACTTACAAAGTTTTTGGTGTTTTGAGACTTCCAGCTCTTTGGTTTGCCAACATACTGGAAGTGGAAGTAGACCTGTATAGAGACGATATCAGGATCTGATTATCTCATGAAATTCAGGCGACGACTCACTCCAATGCCTCCGACTCTCTCACTCTCTAATTCGGTCGGGAGTCGTTGAATATTTCCCCAATTGTCGTCAGTGAACATCAAGGTCACATCTTCAGGAGGATTTAGGCCAGCTGCATAGTATGTGGCAACTTCCTTGTATATGGTCCACACCTCTTGAGCAGTAGCCAAGGTCAGTCAACAGGCTTGGATGTATAGCACAGGCAACTGCTGGAAGGGGGTTTTTGAACTCACGGTTTGTCGCCGTGACGTTTCCGTGATACTTTGCCAAGATCTCTCGTTCTGTGGCAAAGACATCCTCAAGGACCGCAATCGGATCATCGGCATCGATGGGACCATCATCAGTGCCTCGCATTCCCAATGTAAAGTAGGACTCATTGTTGCCCGCTCGGCGAATCCCCTCGTCCATGAAGGCGACCACGTTCTCTTTATTGTTGACCCAGTCCCAGTCGCCCTTTGGATCTTTCTTCCACTCATTGCTTGCTCGCTGCATGGGCTCATGGTGGCTAGTAGACACGACAATGCCATAATCTTCCGCCATTTGCTGATTCCGTGGGTCGTCGGTGAAGAAGATCCTTCCCGGCTTAGGAATGTAACTTGCCCACATCGCAGGCCAGATGAAGTTGGCCTTCAGTCGGAGAAGCAGGTCAAAGACGTGCTGATATAACTCGGAGTCAAGAGTAAAGTTGCCCACGTTGTTCTTCTTCCTCCCCCACCAGCCGGTGAGTGCGGGTGCTTCGTCATTGATGAAGAGACCTCGGTATTTCACGCTGGGCTCGCCATGGGTTGTGATCTTGTTGAGAGCGTAGATTTGGGTGTGCTTGGTTGTCGGCACGTCTGCCCACCAATGTAGACTAGCAGGGATGTAATCAGCTCGACAAAGTCTCTGGACAGATTTCTGATGCCTTCCTTAATCTCGCAACCCTGCGGTAGGGATGTTTGTCATTCTAGACGTCGGATCCTTGCTTGAATGCAGAAGAGGAAGGCTAGGAGACTTACGGCGACTGTCCACTTTGCTCAGAAAGGGTATAAATGCCAAAGATTACAGCTCTCTTATCGCTTCCCGCAATGACAAGAGCGCGGGAGATCCCCGGTAGAGGACTCTCAACGACCTGGGTTCGAAACGTTTCCCACTTCCCACCAATGTCCTCGACTTCTATCTTTCCGCTGTTGACAAGTTCCTGAATAATAGCTGATTCGACTGTTCCAGCAATGATTGCAACATCGGCGATGATTGTCGAAAATGCTGCCGTTGCCCCGGTTTGATTATCTCCTTCCTGGGCTGTCCACAAGTGGACGGATGGCTTTGTTCCTGTGATTTGCTCGAAGTCGCCAGCCAGGTTATTGACTGCAATGCCGATACCTACAGGGTCGTCGGCGTCTTGGATTAAAGTCGCGTCCTGAAGCTCGATAGATCCTTCCGAGGCTTCAAACGCGATGAAAGATTCTTCCAGTAGAGCTGTGATGAGGCTAGCGCATGCCACCAACCACATCCATGGGATGCTACTGTGTACCTTCATAATGGATCATCGGCAAGCCTTACTGGAATATAGTAAAACATACATGGATGAGATGAATTTGATAGAACGAAGGTGGTTGCGTTACTCTAGCTGTGCAACTTGGATATATACACATGAACTGTGTTACACAGCATCGCGTGATGACCGGAATACTATGTCGTGACAAATGCCATTTGACGACCTTCGTATCTTCCATGATGTGTCTGTGCAGTTGAACGTAATGGTAGCATGGAAAGCCTGATGACGTCCATAGCGGCACACCTCATGAGGTGAACGGGGAAGGGTAAGCATTCCCGTGGGAACAAGGCGACTTCATTTGTTGACCGAGTGAGTATTTGCAGCTTGACAATCTTGGCGCGGGGTTGCGGGGTTGAGGACGAAGCAAGAGGGCATCGCGTGGTCTTGGAATGATCCATTGCAGTTGTGCAAGCGGACGAATCATTTCCTACTTGAACTCAAAGGTTGCAGATTGCCAAGCCAGATCAGAGCTTATTTACCCGGAAGGAGACCTGCATGGCCTTCATGTACCCCGACAGGATTATCCCGATGTCCGAACATCTCTTGGATCAAGACGATCATTATTGGACAGTGTGGGTATGGCCATGAACAAAAGCAATGCTGTTCTTGTAACGCCTCCTCTATCTCACTTGGACGTTGACGTTTCGATTCTATCATCGGTTTGTGCGGTTGTAGCTGCGCGTCGCTAATCTTTGGTCTCGTCATGTACATCTCCTCTCTTCTGAAAGACATCACTGGTTGTGAAGAGACGTGGTTGGCTTCTAGGAACACCCGAAGTATCTCAATCATCATCCACGTTGCCATCCGAATAGTACTCAAAGGCCGTGGGCAGTGGTGCGTCTTTGCTGTTGGGGCCGTCCGGATCAACTTCATCCACCAAGTGCTTCTTGACTTCCTGCGCGACAGGCTGGGTAGAGTCCACAGGGGCAGAGCCTTGGACTGGGCCCGGTGAGTGGTGGGTATGGTCTGCTCGCAACATCGTTGTCATCCACTTTGCCCATTCCCAGGGCTTCTCTCGGCCAGATGGCAAGCTGTTGAAGTACTCCCATCCCATGACTCCTCCAAACCGCGCATAACGATTTCGGAGCGTCAGAAGCACAGCGCCGAGCATTTCCCATGGGACCCATCCACCACCGTTCTCAGGATTCGTGACCAGGCCCATGACGACCTTCTCCGGTGCCCAGCCCCTTGCGAGGATCATCTCGTACATGATCGGGTTACTGACGTCGCCCCATCCGCAGTAGAACTGAGCATTGTACCAGGCAATCTCTTTCCCTCGCATGACCTCCAGAGCCTCGTAGTCGAAGCCACTCAGGTTGTTCTCGGAGTTCAGCAGTGCCGCGGCCACGGGCGCCATAGAAATGAGGAAGTCCTTGCCAAAGTCTTGTCGCACGCGGTCAATGAGCCGTATAACACCGCCTAGGCTCATCTCCTCTTCGACGTCGAGATCGATACCATCCAGCCCGCGTGAGCGGAGCATGTCGCGCAAGGGTATGTAGTATTTTTCAAACTTCTCCTCGTCCCCATCCAGCCTCTCGTAGGAGCCCTTAGCAGCACCGCCGAGCATACCAAGTACCTTGACGCCGCTGGCCTGCAGCACCCGTAGCTCAGCCCATAGTGTTAGGAATCGCGGGTTATCGGGGGTATGGTCGTTCAAGGTAAGGCCGTGGGGATCATCGTTAATGTGTATCGCCGCGAGAATTACGTGGGTGACGCTGATCCCTCCTTGGGTAAGGAGGGGGAGGATCGAGATGGGCTTGCCGTCGGGCGTGTGATGTGTTTGGTAGTAGGTGATTACCCGTGGGAGAGGCTGAGGCGGTACGGGCGGCATTGGAGCGAAAGAGGTTGGCTGCCTCGATCCCGCGAGGATCGAGGGCTTCCGTATGGGATTGGAACGACAGACGCGACGCGTGGGATGGTGGAAGATCGGGTGGTTGCATGCGCCAGTGCTTTGGGAGAGCTAACCATGCGGGGGTGGAAATTGGGAGGTGTTCGGATTGACTGCCCCTCCGCGAGGCCCTGCTGAGAGCTGCGTCATCAGGGCCCTCGCAGCTGACATAAGCTCATTTCTATTTCATCCCTGCTTCACTCACTCTCTCGCTCACTCACATCGACATCTCATCTCATCGACCATGAAAGTTGCGCTTAAGTCATGCATTTTGAACCATTTTCTTGATGAATCCTTGATTCATTGGAACTGATACTCGAATACTTGCATTCATCTTTCTACCGTGTCACCATCTCCACCCACTAGAGCTTACAATCTGAGGCCGCCGCATAGATGAAAAGCCTATTAACAACGTCGATCAACTACTCCTACCAGATTGGCTGCTTCCCACCCTTATCCATGACTCTAGTCTTGCTCGGATACTGGGATACCACGTGGAAGCACCCAACGGAATACACTGTGAGAATAACCCCAATGACATAGTACAACTGTTGATCGAAGATTTCCGGAATAGTGAGCACAAAGAACCCGAAAGGCGCAAAGGTCCAGATGGTGCCGATGATGTTGACGACGCAGAAACCGAGAGATAGTCCATGCCGGGACCCAGCCCTCAAGTAGTGATGCGTAGGCCCAAGGACGATCAGGACGTTGGTGAAGCAGAACCATTGCATGACGGATCCCTCACCCATGAACTCAATGGCCAGAAGCACGATCGAGTACATGCCCATCTGCAGCGCCAGGGCGTATGTAATGGCTGCCGACATTGATGGCTGCTTTCCGAGGACATTCCCAAAGCTGGCATCGCGCTCTTTGGTGATGGATCGATGGATTGTCCATACTTCCAGCATCGTCCAGAGGAAGAGCGCTATTGACGTGCCTCTCAGGTACCAGTGCTCCCCGTACTGAGAGGCGGCCTTGCCAAGGGTATAAGACCATGTCGAGTCGTGCGCGAGGTAAAATGAATGCATCCAGAAGGGCATCGGGCCCTTTCCTTCACGTAGGGTGAGCCTGACAACGTAGGTATACTGGAGGTAGCCGATGATGAAGCTGACGGCAGAAGCGATCAAGATTGGAGTATTGTCCAAACGATAGACCTCCGTTATACGCTCATAGTAGTTAATTGCCGTCATGTTGCCGATAGATCCACTGAGGTGAGGTGATAATTGTAAGTGGAATCTTGTACGGAGTTTGGAAGAGATTCGACGCCGGCAAGCGGATTCAATCCAGCACTGAAAACCAAGTAGAAAGAGATGATCTCCAGCAGCATTCTGACAGAGTCTTCTTATAAGACTTCAGAATCTAGTCTAAGGGAAGGCAATGCCCAGACCTTCATAGCATGATCTAAGTCAAGGTTTGAAGACATCGGCGCCGAGATTCCAAGTCGAGACAGTCTAAGCCAGCGCCAACGCTATGGCCCCCCTCGAAATACCGGCAACCAGGTTCTCGACACGGATGTCCCTGGTTTCTGGGATTCTAAGAATGCAAGTGGGATGTTGATGTCTCCGCTTCGTCAGGGTCCAACGCACACCGCTTGAACTCTGACATGGGCATCTCAATGTTGTCAGCCAAGCTTCGGCCGAACACATCGCCGCTCAAGCTGACTGTGCAGAATGCACTGGCCAGTGGCCAGAAAATGAAATCAGAAATCACGTAAGATTCAAAGCTCATGAAGACCTAGATAACCTCTTCATACTGGTTGATCAGGCGCTGAGGCACAAGACCCCGTAACACCACCACGCCAGCGTGCACAATCCCCCATCTCACCGTCGTCAAAACGTCCGCCATAATCCAAACCAAGCCATTCGTCCTCTTCCGCTCTCTCCGTAGAGCGACCTCGCCCCGTACCGCGCGCTCCGACATGCTCGCAACCAGAGCCTCCATCTCACCTTGCGGATCCCAAATCATCTCGTCGTCCTCAAAGTCATCCTCATCATCAAAGGCGTCAAACGCCCGCCGCGAAGATGCCCCGTACGATCGACTAGGTCGCGCGTGGTGATAGGCCCAGCAGGTAAGCGTCGCCAGGTACAGACACCACGGCACGTGGAAGAGGTTCATGGCCTCCATGCTGTTCAGCGTTCTCTTGGTTTCGACTAGCATTCTCGCCGCGTGCCATGCTGCTTCGGACGCGGATTGCTTGGATTGGTCGGCGTTGGTGTCGGCAGCCCCTCCTCGATCTTGTCTTGGGACGAGTGGGTGGTTTTGCTGCTGCTGCTGTGTCTCGCAAGCTGACGCAGCCCATTTCTTCACAACCTGTGCGGATCTGTGGTAGTCTCGTTGCTGTACTGGCCTACCGAGGATGTGACGAGCACCAGCGTATATCTGAACATCCAAGAAGTCCATGTTGAGTAAAGCTTGTGCTGAATGATAGAGAGCCTTGTATGCTGCCGCGAACGACTCGAACTCCACTTTCCGAGTCATATCTTCGTCGCCCTCCTGCCGTTGAACTCCCTGGGCCTGGGAGGCAGATCCCCGTTGTAATTGGGACGCGAAGCTGCTGCAGAATGCATCAAAGTCGTTTTTCCATGCGTCGTAGGCGGTGCTCAGCAATTTGCGCCAGCCCATCCCGAAGCTATCTCCCGAGACGACACCTAGAGCCGTCTGATCACGCCGGCCCATGTCCCAAGAGATGGACATCAAGCCATGAAGAACAAGAATCCTCGAGAATCCAGTGAGGCCAGCTGGTCGCGGGGCTGAAGGTGTAAGATAAGATTTCAGAGTGGGCAAGTAGAACAACCTCTGGTCGCTAAGACTTGAGCGCCATGCCGACGCCCATGATGCGGCATCCCGAGCTTCCCATATGCTCTGGCTGCACGGTAGTTCCAGTCGGAGCTCAAAAGCTGACATGCAGAGACTCTGGCAGAAGAGAACTGCGTGCTGCGTATCCCACATAAAACAGAGCAAGGCCAACCTGGGCTTCTGTTAGCCCTCTGCTGACTACAACGAATGCAAAGGGAACGTCAAGGCATACCTTTTCTTCTGCTCCGCATCGGCCCACTTCCTCCATGCCTGGTCCAAGATGCCGGCGTTATCTTCGCCCGAGACTGGTGGCGGACCGGGCGGTCGCACAGTCTGGCAATCGGAACGGCGAATGAGATTGATCAGAAGTCCATGGAACAAATGGCTCATGTCGTGTTGTTTCTGACCGGCACGCGACTTGCCAAAGCACTCGACCAGCAGGATTGTCTGCAATGTCCAGAGCTCTGGCCTAGGTGAGAATCCGGCATGGGCAAAGATGCTCGGCCGGATTACATCATGTATGCAAACAGCAAGTTGATGACAGTCTTTGCTCGAGTACGTAGCACCTAACAGCAGGATGGACAACAGTAGCAAAGGTTCGGTATTCTTGCAGTCAAATGTTTCTAGGTGGATGAGTGGGTATGCGGTGTTGAAGCGAGTGAAGAATAGCTCCAGATACGACTTTAGTGAGTCCGCTGATAGTAACGGGTGCTCCCATATTGTGGCGCGTTGGTCAGGCAGGTTGGGCTTGGCGCCGTCAATGACGTTTAACAGCCTCTCTCTCACATCTTCGCCAATAGGAGGGATTGTAAGCGGCTTCCTCAAGGAAGACAGTGGTCTTTCTGGTTCGGTCGGAGTTGGCCGGCTGGGTGCAGGGTAACGCTGCCGAGCTGCTGATGGCGCATCGCTAGGTCTTCGAAACTGCGCGATATCTGAGCTCCTCTCCCTGGAGTTTCTCATCGCTTGCCGTCTGGCAGCTTCACTAGCGGTTGTTGAGGTGTTGCTTGGTGGATCGGACGACCTCTGTCTCTCCTGATCCTTGCTAGTCATCTCCATGGGCTCTGTCCACAGCTGTGCGCTCTTCATCGACTCCGGTGTGATGGCGACGTTTGCTTGCGATTTAGGTTGGGATTGATTGTTTGCCATGTGAGTTCCAAAGTCTTGCACTAGGTTCGAAGGTCTCGATGCTGCGGTGGGGGCTGAGTTTTCTTGCATGTTGAATAGCCAGTTGTAATCCAGCGCAGTCGTGTATGGCATATTAAAGGAGCTGGCAGTGTCGGGTTGGAAGATCTGATCGTAGTCCAACTGTTCGCTCATGAATGATGTCTCACCCCAGCTACTGGACTGGGTCGTATTGATATCGAAGTGGCTCTCCGATCCTATAAAATCGGAAAACTGTAAAGAAGGAGGGAACCCCGAGAAGTTGGTGACAGGTTCAGTTGGATTGAAAACGTCTTGACGTCCAATGGAATACTGTTGAGCGTCGCTCTGGCTTCCTGGCCGAAGATCCAAGGTTGAGCGCCTGTGAAACTCTGGTGATATGTTGTCGATGGAGTAGTCTTGGTCTGGCTCAATGTCTAAGCCGGATAGACTATGATCCCCGTCGTGGGGTTCCGGGTCAGGTGAAGGAACTTGTTGAGCTTGAGGACGCTCTTTTCCTCCCGATGCCCGGCCCCGTCCAGACGGATTCGGGCAGGGCCGCTTTTCTACAACAGACCCGTCCGGGGCCTTCCAAGATCGCTTTCGTGTGTCTAAAACGCCGCAGCCTGGTCCGCCTGCTTCGAGATCTTTTTGGCGGTGACGGTCCATATGCCGTTCTGATTGTAGATGAGTATGAAGTCAGCGGACTATTCATTTTCGAAAGACTCGAGATTGAATTACAAACGGTAGTAGTTGTCGACATATTGCTTATTTGTTTCGTCTTTGAATCTACTTACTCAACAGATCAGGTCGCTTGAAGTGAGCATTGCACAAATCGCAGCTCAACCCGCCAGGCATATGGTTGAGAGCATGACGTTGCATATGCTCAGCTCGAGTGAAGCGTCTGTTGCACCCAGGGTGCGTGCAAGAAAAGGTCTTGTCTTCGCCCATCAAGCCTTCTGAGCTCTCTGAGCGACGATGGTTCTCACCAGCACCAGCCATGGCGTAGGAGTCGTTCATAGTTTCACCGCCGAGTTGCAAATTACACCAATCCACTTCCGAGAAAGGAACCTATGTCAGTCGACCCCTGGTACAGCGAAGGAAAGAAAATTTCGATAACTCGGGTCTTAGGAAGAGACTTGGAAAGACTGGCAAAGTTGGCAGAGTGAAACCACGGTTCAGGTGTCTCGCTCGCTTCGATAGGAGCTCATAGATGGGGGAATGGGGATGGACATAGCATCCGAATGTGCCGTCCCACTTCTCCGCATTTCCTCCGGCTTTGAAGAGTAACGATACCCGGCTTCCTAGGCCGAGTAGAATCTCCATACTAGGAAGTATGAGAAATCTCCGATTTGTTCATCGCACAACATCCCGGCACTAGGTCTAGGTGTCGCCCCTCCCCCACTCTCGAAGACTCCCGCCACCACTGATAAGCATCGTCTCTGGCCTCGCAATCCGTATCCGACAACACCAATATAAGTCCGAGGAGATAAGAGTGGAGTACAGGCGACTTCGGCGTCCTGGTAATATGCTCCAACTGCGGGCGTATCTTATCTGGCTGCTCTAGATATGCGACACATGTAGATACGAATCGAACTTTACGTAGGACAATTGATGTTCGCGGAGTTGCATATCCGGAGAGAGGAGATGCATCAATCATGGCGATCGCGTTGAGTGCACCGAGTAAAGCCGGCAGTGGCCGTGAACTACGCCGCTAACGACAGTGAACGGATGATGCGGCCATTCCACTCTTCGAGAACGCTGTAGCATGCATTTGTAAGAGCTAAAATAGTATCTAGCAGCCATACAGCTGGATTGTTGTATACAAATTTGCCAGTGTACCAACAACATCTAACATAACACAGTCAACATCAGATGACAGGAAGTTGCATAAGGCCTATGAGTATATGCACTAAAGAATTAGTTGTCTCCTTCAAGACAGCATAGAACAGCATAACATTTGCGACCCCAAGAGTAGACTGGAGCTGTGCAACCAGACACCAGCATCATGTCGCCGTCGACTTCGAGGAGTTATTTGATTCAAGAAAAGCAACAGCGCGATGCGAGTACTAGGCTTCACGTGAGTCTTCATCTACCACACGGTCAATGAAAGTCGCCGAACTAATTTCTCCTATGCTAGGTGATAATTGTGGGAGCGGGTCTAGGTGGCCTAGGCGCCGCCATCTCGACGCTGCTGGCTGGACACGATGTCACGGTTCTAGAGGCCGCCTCAAATATCGGCGAGGTCGGTGCGGGCATCCAAGTCCTCCCGAACGCCGCCCGCGTCCTATTCTCCTGGGGCTTGGAGGAGAAGCTGGAAAAGTACGCCACAAAGCCCCAGAAATGCAACTTCATCGGCTGGAAAGGCAACTTCCTGTCCGAAATGGATTATCACAAGTACGCCGCGGCGGCGGGAGATTTCCCCTTCTGGGATTTTCATCGCTCCGACCTGCATCGGTGTCTCCTCGAGCGCGCAGTAGAGCTTGGCGCGAAGCTCGAGACGAATGCAAAGGTCGATACTTTTACAATCTCACCGGATGACACGACGGCTACGGTGTACCTCGTTGGCGGACGCAGCCTGACGTGCGACCTTCTCGTTGGCGCGGACGGCATCAACTCCAAGCTGAGGGAGGAGTTCCTATGCAAGCCTGATCCACCTCAGCTGACAGGGGACCTGGCATATCGACTGCTTTTGAACACGGCCGACATGCTCAAGGACCCCGAATTGAGGCACTTTGTGGAGAACCCCCAAGTCAACTACTGGGTTGGACCGGACAAGCACGCGGTGAACTATGTTCTCAAGGGCGGTCAGCTCTTCAACATGGTGTTGCTGGTGCCGGACGACATGCCCGTCGACGGCGGCAACACCCTGCAGGGAAACATTGAGGAGATGCGGGGCCATTTTGCAGGCTGGGATCCCCGCATCGGCAAGATGCTCCAGATGTGCGATGAGGTTCTCAAATGGAGACTGTGCATCCGGCCAGGCCTGGAACCAACGTGGTCCCATCCGTCTGGCGCCTTCACGATGCTCGGAGACGCCGTGCACGCGACGCTGCCTTACCTGGCCAGCGGGGCGGGTATGGCGCTCGAGGACGGAGGGGTTCTGGGTCTCTGCCTCGCTCGACTGACCGACACTTCAGCCGCATCAAAGCGACAGGCCCTAAAGGTCTACGAGGACTGCCGACGGGAGCGGACGGAGAGGGTCGTCCGCCGCGGAACATACAACCAGTGGATCTATCACCTCCACGACGGGCCAGAGCAGGTTGAGCGAGACGCGAAGTACAAGGAGTTTGAGGAGATGGACGCGAAGTGGCTGAGCGGGGATTCAGCCGTGTTACCCGCATCTCAGGAGACAGGAGATGACCCCTTTCCGTGGAGGTATCATGGCGTAGGGAGGTGGTTATTGACATACGACATGTGGAAGGATATCGAATCGAAATTGCCCTCCGACTCGGCCGGCACATCGGCAAAAGGAGGAAACCCAACCCCTCGGGCAAGTTTGTAGAGCATAAGCTTATTAACCTGTAAAAAAGAAAGAACAAACTTTGAATAATACGAGAGCCTTAAGCCGTTGTGGCCTGTTAATTCCCGGCTGGATCGGGCCCTTGTAGGTTAGCTGCGATCCTAATTATGCGAAAGGAGGAATAGTAAACAATAGTCGCAAAGCCTGCCTTACCGTTTCCCCTGCTACTTTGTTTTTGGTTCGATAGCCTGGCGGCTAGGCTTTAACCAGGATGGAAAACCTCCGGCGGGGGGGTTATGGAAGCTAGACAGTTTTGGGCAATGTTATTAACCACATCAATCACCAGCACACTCGCGAGAACGTCAAAACGGTATCGCCCTGCGTGAGGGCGTGCAGGTATTGGCAGTCCCGAGGATTTGGTTCGTTACCAAGGATACAAACAACTCAACCCAGCCAGCTGGGCCAGCTGAAGCAGCTGAGCGTTATATTGACTCTAGCACAGTGGAGAAGGATGCCGTATTTCGTCCAATAATGGCTTAAGATGTCTTGAACTGAGAGAGATTAAGCAACACCGACCCCGTCTTACCGTCCCCAGGCCGCGTTTCCCATCCCATGTCCATGTCTGAGGGGTAATATCCTCGGAGCCCTCGAGGACTTCAACACCACCAGAATGGAAGAGCCGCGTACGAAAATAAGGTCGACTAAGGAAGAAGCTAAGAAGAAAAGGGGTACGAAATCCGGAGGGCTGGTAAGCGCGCCGCCTAGCGAGCCGGCGCCTGAAACCAACTAACATAGGCCGGCGCACGGTGCCTGGCAGTCCTGTCCAGAGGAAAACCTGGGAACATCAACATGCGCGTGGCACTCACGATAGTACGAGGAAGCTGAACGACAGCTCGCCTAATCAGCGCTTGGTCAAGCTTTCTGGCATGGAATAGGGTGACGAGGAGTCCAGAACCATGGGCTCGCCCACGTGGAGGCTTGCCCGGGAGGCAGATTCACGGCGGCCGCTTGTTGTCATTTTGCTGAATCGTGAGCTGAAGCATCCTGAATACATAAGTCTGCGATCTTCCTCCCCATCTCCCGATTCAGATCTTTTTATCCATCCTCATCATCTCAGAAGCTCCCGAACATCCTCAGCTTCCTCAACCGGGTCATCAATACTCTCTTCAGTCTCGCCACGTGCTCCAGACACCTGCCAATACTTCAAGATGCGTTCCGCTATCCTCGTCGCCGCCATCTCTGGCCTTGCTGCCGCCGGCCCTGTCGCTCCCCGTGACACTACTGCCCAGAACGGTATTGATCTGAGTGCTTTCGATGTGAGTCCACACTGCCGGTAAAGCTTCTTTTCTCGCTTCAAGCTGACCCCCAGTACAGGCCGAGCCTGTTCCTACCAAGGTTGGCCCCGCTGTCGGTGCCACCGTCGAGACTCCCACCTACGACCCGGCGGTCGCCAAGGCTGAGGCCTCAAAGGATGCCGCGGCCAACCCCATTGCCGTCTCCAACTCCACCCTGGCCGCCCGTACGGTTACTCCCGCCGGCTGCGGAGCCAAGCAGCCCGACGGCTACGGACCCGTGTCCAGCCCGGATGACTATGCCACCTTCATGAGCGACCCTCAGTTCACTACCATTGCCACCAATGCTCAGGTGCCTGCCGGCTACAGCCTGTCGTTCTCCAACAAGCAGGGCGCCACCGAGTGCAATACCTACTTGGGTCTCTACACCATGAAGACCTTTGACACTATCAAGTGCCAGCAGGTAAAGACAACTTCACCCAGAACAAACATCAAGGAAGCAATATCTAACCCTCAATAGTACTGCGATGCCGCTCCTGCATGCTACGGTATCAACGTCTACATGGAGAGAGACCCCAAGTGGGACCCTACCGATGCGTGCCCCAACCCTGCCAGCATCACCAACTACAAGTGCACCCTCTGGGGTTCCGCCGTCACCGCGGAGACCGCCACCAATGTTGGACAGTGGAGAAACCAGTTCCACGTTGGTGTGACTGGATCGAACGGTACGCAATCCTGATCTTTCCAATGCCAGCTATCGAGAGGGCTAACTGACTCCAAACAGGATACTCCAAGCTTGCGCCTCCCCCTTCTTACCCCGACTTCACCGGCCCTGTTGCCTTCGGCGGCGCCACCCAGGCCCCCAAGTCATACATGGGATCCAAGTACTACCCCGGTGTCTACAACCCTGAGCAGTGCGCCGTCGCCTGCAAGGCCAACACCAAGTACGACCACGACCACCCCAGAGCTGACGGCACCTACGATGCCTGCAACTTCTTCAACGCCTACGTCCTCAGCAAGAACAACGTTCCCCAGGGAACTTACTGCTCCCTGTACACCCAGTCCTGGGACAAGTCCTACAGCACCAATGTCGGACAGTGGAGAGGCAGCGACTACTACTCCGTCTCCTCCAGCTACGGATATACTCTTACTGTCCAGGACCCCGGCGTGATCGGTGTTTAAAGGGTCGGTCTTTTTGATGAGCGTCCTACGCTTCTCGAGGCTCTAATCACTTTTTATACTTTCAATGCTTATGAGACCATTGAAAAGTTGGACAGGTCTTGTGTGGCGATGCATAGATTGATCACAGACCGATACGATTGCAAGAATAATGAGGCGGAATGCAGAGTGCATTACATACCTAGGCTATAATTAGTAACGGTAATAAATATTGATGATAATTGCAGATTACAAACTCTCAAAATGACATTGTGGGCCTTCCCAGAAAGTTTTCAGTATTAGTGATTATGCTTTCGGTCTCCATCTAGCATTATTGTGGAATTCGGAAGAGACGATATGGAAAGGAAGTCGGCAAACACCAAATAAAAGGGCAGGTGGCGTGACTATTCACTGTTCCCTTGTTCCCTTGTTCCCACGTTACGCAAATCAAACATCTCTATTCCCCAGATCTTCTGCCTCATTCGACGTCGTGAAATCTTTTCCATTCATAATGATGCTGGAATTGAGACTGCACATGCCACCTCTAGCAATGATCATTACATGTAGGCTCTAATGGGTCTAAGCATTCGCTGTAACCTCCGCATTATCAACCTTATAAAACTCATAGTCATTGTATCCCTTTTCCGGAGGCTCCGCCCCGTAAAAGGTCGTCCTGTCGTATGGGTTCAACTCCCACCCGTTCTTCAACCGCTCCACAAGATCAGGGTTGGCAATGAAATATCTGCCAAATACAATCGCATCCGCCTCGCCGCTCTTCAACTTCGTAACAGCATTGTCGCGGTTGAAGTTGCCAGCGGCGAAGAAGTGGACGCCTGCTGGCTTGAGAATGTCCCTGAATTGTGTCAGATTGTTCGTCTGTGTCGCCTCGGACTTGGTTCCAGACAGCGAGGCAAGCTTTTGTTCCTCATCGAGGACTTCGTCAAAGCGAGGCTCGATCCTAAATCGAATCATCAGTAGCTGTCCTCTCTTGGAGTGGTTACTTATAAGCAGATAGTCTTACATGTGCACATAGGCGGGCCTCTCAGTCTCTGACATCTCTGCAATCTTTTGGCTAATGAATGACCAGTGCTTGTTGGGGTTGCTGTCTCTTGTGCCTTGGAAGTAGTTGTACGGTGAAAGGCGGACGCCGACCTTCTCGGGGCCAATGGCGGCACTGACGGCCGACAACACTTCGAAAAGGAATCTTGAGCGGTTCTCTATCGATCCACCGTACTCGTCTGTGCGAGTGTTGATGTTATCGTGGAGGAATTGTTCAAGCAAGTATCCATTAGCCCCTATCTTCATGTTAGCTTATTCGTAGCAAGCATTCAATGCGCGCGACATATTCTTACCATGAATCTCAACGCCATCAAAACCCGCAACCTCAACCGCGCGCTTAGAAGCCGCAGCCCACTCTGCAGTCAAGCCGTGGATCTCCTCTATGGTCATAGGCCTGGGAGGACCATCTTTGCACGCAGTTCCATCAAGGTAGTTCCCATCCATTGGCTGGGTTCCCGAAGAGATAGGCGTTTCGCCTCCACGCATTCCGCCAGAAGAGGCTCTGCCAGTGTGCCAAAGCTGAACAAAAATGAACCCGCCCTTGGCATGGACGGCATCAGTGACCTTGCGCCATCCTTGCAGCTGAGAGTCGGTGAAGACGCCTGCGACACCGGGGTAGGCGCTGGCATTGAGGCAGATGTCGGTGGCCTCTGTGATTTGGAGACCCCCGGCACTGGCTCGCTCGCCGTAGTACTTTGCTACACGGGCCCCTGGGACATGAACACCGCGAGACTCGAACTCACTTCTCATGCGAGTTGTGGGTGCCTATCAAGTATGTTAGCACTACATCATCGCCATCGCCATGTTGTGGGTAGCTTGCTGGACTTACTTGCACGATGCGATGCTTGAGGCTGATGCTACCCAACTTCAGTGGGGTGAACAGCACTGTATCCTTCAGAGCGGCAAAGGCCGGGGGAGGAGTGGTTGCTTTGGGCATGGTGTGAAGCTATTCAGGAAATATGGTCAAGACCTAGTATTGGATTGGTGTCTTGATAGGAAGGGGGCTTGCTGAGGTCTGTTGAGCACTAAGAAGCCCATTGAGCGTCGTTGAATGTGGCAGGTTATGAACATGTCATCTGAAGCCCGGAACCACATTTGCAAAGTCACTATTCAGTGACCCTAAGGGTACGCGCTGGCTAGTCGTGATCGCCATGTTGATGCATCGTTGCTAGTGCCTCGAGATGCCCCCCATTCCAGTGCAAGAGTGGAGAGTGGGGGACTTCCTGGTTTGGGTTGTGGTGAGTGGGATATCTCGGAAGTGGGGGTGCACTTACACCGAACCCGTCCAGTCGACAACCTTGACTTGCCGTATCTATTCGTATCTGTATGGTACCTATTCTAAGAGCATAGCCATCAGTCCACTTCTAATCACCAGTAGTGTTATCCCCCCGGTGTGTTACATTCGGCAAACCATGGTTTAGTGCAGTCTAGACACGGGGAACTCGGGAGTACGGGAGACCGCGCCTTTCCCCCCACATGTTCGCAGATAGACATGGGGAAAGCTCTCATGGGGCTGTCATCTCATAGGAGCAAGGGAGACGATAACAACATCTTCAAGTCATCGCTTTGGTAACAGATTGATGTGAAGCGGGTTCGGGAGAAGCAACTTTGATGGGAGAACACCAACGACTGGACTGGTATTGGTAAGCAGTTCAAGCATGGCGAACTTGTAAGATGAACGTGGTCTAGGTGGGCTGGTTCATTTTGCCGGGGAATTGCATGATGCTTTCGTCTGACACAATTCCATCTTCTCTACAGTGCATCAACTCTTGCAGGCCGTGATGATTTTGAGGACTCTGCGTGCGTACGAAATTGAAGGATAGTCTACGTCGTAGTTGTGGAATTTCAACTCTACAATTTCCTGCATAAGACATTCCCTAAGACGGGTAGTTGTGGCAAATCTAGCCCAAGCTGCCCCGGCACCTGGACCTTGGTTGATATAGAAACACTTGTGCGCTTCGGCGTCGTATCATCAGAGTTGTAGACAAATTCAGAAATTGCGCCGCTTTTTGATTATAAGTCTGGTGAGGAAATTAATGTTTTCATTATCGTGAAGCTCTGCATCAAGTCTTCTAGCCAGGAGCCGAGTTCAAAATTTGCAAGTCGGTCGCAAGATCTAGAGAGAAGCGTGCCCGTGGGTCTCGTAAGGCAATCCGATGCAAAACAAGCCCACCACAATCCATAAAGCAGCACTGGCATAGATAGGCACAACAGTGTATCCCGCATACGTCGACACAAACGAAGCCGCAAGGCCACCGACGCGAAGAAGAGTAGCGGCAATGCCAGTGCCTGTTCCGCGAACTGGGCCAGGGAAAGACTCGGGCGTGAAGGCATACATGACGGCGTACTCTGCGAATATTGGTTAGGAATTGCACTTGTATAATCAGAAAATGACTTGAAGACCAACTTACCAAAGTTTCCAAGAATTCCGGTTGCGCATTGGAATCCGATATCAGCCGCTTCCGTGCCCACTGCCGTGTAAGCGAACAAGAAAACTCCTGTCAAGACCGCAGATGCAGCCATCATCCAGCGGCGGCCAAAGCGTGTCTCAACGCAGAAGCCGGCCGCGATGGGTCCAAGAACACCGGCCGCAGAAACAATGCAGTAAATCATGTAGGTGTGGTTCAGCGAGGTATTTGCAGAGTACGTAGACTTGGTCGCGAGGTATGACGGGATGAAGGCGAAGTAGAGCGGGTACGCCACACCGACGGTCAGCCAGATGAGGAACGTGACGGACGTGTGCTGCGCCATCTTCCGGCCGGCAAACAGTTTCTTGTAGTTGTCGGCGTTGTAGTCCCTGAAGCTTTCCTTGAGGATCTCCATGTGGGATAGCTTGGAGCCTCGAGGCGCCATGTCGGGGTCGACCGCCGCGGCGGCGGGGGCAACGCTGCCTGCGTCTGACTCTGAAATACCGGCGCATTGTCTGTCGATGGCTTGCAGCATTTCGAGGGTGAGGGTTTCCGGTCGCTTGTTGTAGCGCGCAATGTAATTTACGGCTTCGACGGCCTCGGCATCGCGACCCTTGGAGATGAGGAATTTGGGCGATTCGGGAATCTTGAAGGCCACGATGCGGATCAGACCAAAGGCAATGGCGATACCACCGAGAGTGATCATAAGGTAACGCCAGCCCATGTTATCTTGCATGCGGCAAGGAGCTTCCGTAGAGTCGCAGGCAAAGTTGGCCAAGAAAACCCACGCCAGGAGCGACACGATGACCTGTCCCAAATTCCACCATCCAGACAAGCTTACGAGCAGCCACTGATGGGTCTGGGGAACAAACTCCAGAAACACGACGCTGTCCACGGGTACGTTACCGCCCGCCGCCGTACCGATAATGGCCCAGATGATGCAGAAACCCGTAAAGTTTTGAACGCCGGCCACGGCGCACGCAAAGACGCCGCCGTAGAGGATCGTGGCGTTAAAGGCGGGCTTGCGACCGATGAGATCGGCGGTGGTGCCCCAAAAGGAGGCGCCGACGATCAGCCCGACGTAGTACGCTACGGAGCTGAAGCTCAATTTCGCAATGTCGGTGAACTCGTTGCCGATCGGTGGCCGGATCGCTGTGATCCCCTGGGACCAAAAGTTGTCGACAATCCAGCCGAAGCCGTTGACGACGAAGAGGATCCATTGGAATCTGAGAAGGAGGGGGGAAACGGTCAGCTTTTCTTCCACCTTGCGCCGGTAGTATGAAGCCAGAAAGCGAGGGAGAGGAATCTCAAACATACTTTCCCATGCCAATCTCGCCCAAGTGCTTCGCGATTAGCTCCGACTTGAGACGATAGTTCTCGTTCACGGCGCCCGTGTAAAAATCACGGAGGACCGAGTCGCCGACGGAACTTGCATCTCCCTGGATAACGGACCCGGAGGCCGTCTGCCTCAAGCTCGACTCCGTCGCATCCTTTGTGACACTCTTCTCGCTCGGAGCAGACATGATGAAAATAGCCTGGTCAATTCGCAAGGGGGAACAGGGAGAATGACTGAGGGAAAGAAAGTGAAGACGATAAACAGCTTCTGACTTGGGCCCTTTTCTCTCAAGAAAGAAAAACGAAGAAACCTGGGGCCTGACTTCTTTCGGATCCTCGAATGAGATGAGCCTTGTAGGGCGCCTGGTCCCTCAGCTTTATTCAATCCAGGAACACCAAGGGACGAGCTCTCTACCTGACATGAGAGGGCCAATCTTGCAAGGTACCGGCAGCCAAGGTCGCAAGGTCGAATGGATATCAGCCAACACGTTGTACTTGCTCACACTCCACAGCTGGCATAATGAGCGTCCCCGTACATGTAGCGCCAGGGGTATCTTTCTCTGGGGTGAAGGACAAATCAAGGGTCCTGATTTCCCACCGGGGAGACACTGTCTCTCACCTCAGCCTCAAAATGGGGATATGGAGATGATTGCCGTGCTATCACTCGTCCGCGGCCGGTACGAAGTAAGGGTATCTATCTAAAGGTGCCGCATGGGCGTGGGCTCTCTATCTCTGCCCTTTCACCCGTCACCGACGGTGTGTGTATCGCCCCAATCCGAAGAGCTCTATTCGTCTATTTCCTTAAGGGACGAGAAAGAGAGACTTGTACCAGGGATTTATCCCAGAGATTACGGGTCCCCACCCCCACTTTGGCATGCACGGGCTGTTCCAAACCTGACATTGACTCCATTCCGGCTAGGATGTCTGACATGGCGCTCTACCAATCAACACTACCACGCACCGCGTCAAGGCCGCGTTTAGAGTTCAGAAAACAAGGAAAAACGATTCGACAAACCCTCCCGCACTGCATAGCGTGCGAGTGATGATTTCATAGATGCGGGTTGGCTGTGGTCCGGAGATGGGCACGCAATTCTGAAGAAACCCATATTAAAATGTCTGCAGAGGAAATTTCTGCAAAATCGAGGGACTAATGACATAAGAGAAAACGACATGAGACTTTGTCAATTGCGTCTATTTCGTTTTGAGGCCAGAATGGCCGATGTACTTTCTAGTAATAGCCGCAAAGACGACTCATGCTTGTTGAGCTAACATAACAGTCTACATAGGTCTCGGGCCATGTCTCGCCCGAACTAGATGTAGCTCACTATCAGTCTGATATTCCAAAGTACATACGTCACATATGTACGCCCAGCCCTCTCAACGGAGTAACTAACTCAGATCGACCGGTCTCACTGTAGGACCAGCTGATGCTACATGTACATACATACTGCTTCTCGTTTGCCCACACCGCTCTGCCCTGAAGTCGCACCGCATGAAGCGCGATTTAATACACTACAAGTCCGGCGCTTGTAAAAAACCGCCAAAGTAGTTATCCAGCCATTGCGCCGCCATCCCACCGTTGCCGCTTTCGCTTGCCTGCCAGCGGCCGATGGTACCCACGTAGCCGTCCGGGCGGACGACGATAAGGGAAGCTTCGTCCGTTGCGAGACCACCAAGCCACTTGTCTGTACAGGAGCGTCCTTGTGTATCCAGAGGTGCTACATCGTCGAGATAGACGGTCCAGGCACTCTGTGAGAACACGGGAGGAAGCGAAGAGATTTCAAAGTTCTCCTTTTCCGTAGATGCTGGAACACAGAGTCAGCAGCGACACTTCATTGGCTAGGGGGAGGGCGCGGAGCCTCCTCCGACGTGGAGAACTGGATAAAGGATACGAAAAGAGGAGCGCGATCAACTTACTGACGAGCGCAAATGTGCATAATTGACTGACAGATGTATATCTCTCAGGGCGTACATGAATATCGTCCGTCCGACTGGCGCGTGGCTTCACCTTGTACGACTGCGCCGCTGCTGCGGAAAGTCTCGACACCAATGAAGACGCAGATGCTACGCCGGTGCTGAAGTCACGCAGAAAAGAGACACCTGCAGCGCCAGAGACGTCGTCCAAGACTGCGTAGATGCGGAACTGACCCAAGACCGGAATATCGAGCTGCACGTCGATAGGGCAAGCATCGATATATCGGGTAGCCTTTGCAGGCGGGAGGTTGCATCCCGGCTTCGCGGCGCCCTGAACGCCGTCATCCCGACCCCGGTTGAGCTCGTTCTCGCCATACTCGACCCCGACGCCAGAAATGAAGCGTGTGTTCGTCTTGAAGTTATCTGCCAGCCGCTTCGCGTCGCCGCGAGCGATCTCGTTGGCGTGCTCAAAGTCGAAGTTGATGAGATCGTGCGCAATCTTCTTGCGCTCGTGCTCATAGGTCGCAAGCAACACGTCGCCCTTTGCGAGCCCGCGCAGAGCGAGGTTGAGTTTCCACCCGAGGTTCCAGGTGTCGTGGATGCTTGTGTTCATGCCCTGCGCCGCCTTGGGACTGTGCGTGTGGCTGGCGTCGCCGGCGATGAAGGCGCGCTGGGCTGGGTCGGAGAAGCGGGCGGCCACGCGCTGGGCGACTTGATAATTGCCAAACCACTCTACAGAGCGCCATTTGACGCTGTAGGGGGATAGGATAAGGCGGGCTTGTTCCATGACGTATTCTTCTCCTAGGTCTTTTGAGGATGTTGACGATTTCATTTCGATGTAGAAGCGCGTCATATTGCGTTCGCGGGGAATGATGAGGATGGAGCCGTACTTCTCAGAGAAGACTACCGTCTTGCTCCAGAGGTCGGGGAAGTCTGTCTCCAGTTCGCCATCGAGGACGCCCCATACCGAAGCATGCGGTGAACCTTGGGCGAATGTGTCGGGGATGCTCTTTCGAACGAGAGATCGCGCGCCGTCACATCCCACCAGAAACTCCGAGTTGATGGATGTCTTTCCTTCCCCTTGCCGATCGCATTCAATGCTCAATGAGCCATCGTCCAAAGTGCTGTAAGCCTGGAAGCTGTGACTACGTTTCACTTCGACGCCGCTCTTGCGAAGGTCATCAATGAAGACACCTTCAATCATGCCCTGGTGACATAATAAGATGTAGGGTTGCAAAAGATCCACGACAGAGGGAGGGTAGTGGATCGAGCGACTCAACCGGTGCAGGTCAGAATCGCTCGAGCTCTGCCACATACAAATGTCATGGACCTTAACACCGGTGCGGAATAGCTCGTCGCCGAGGCGCAGCATCTGCAGCGTCTCAATCGACTTTGGCTGAATTCCATCGGCGCGGCCTACTGTAGTCTGATCTGGCCTTTCGTCAATGACTTGGACCTTTTGACCGAATCTTGCCATGAGAGACCTGTGTTGGCATGTTAGGACGGAGGAGCTGGCCGGGTGTGCGGGGCGGATGTTGGAGGGAGTGGGGCACAAACCCGAGCATTAAGCCGGCTGGTCCGGCTCCGACGACGCAGACGTCGGACCTGAATGCGTGCCCATTTTGGTGCGAGCCGTTTGTATGGCCATTGGTTTGTGAGCTCACAGGAGTTGATGAGCTTGTTGTCATGTTTGCTGTGATTGCTGACCCGAAGTCGTTGTGTAGCTGTAGTGTCTATGGACGTCTATGAAGAACGGGACGTTTTCTTGTGTAGATATGGTTGGAGCGTGTATGATGCTCTCACTACCAATATAATTGTTCGTTTGAACCAAATGAGACTGTATAAAGGTACTCAGTCTTGCCTTATCCTCGCCTGAAAAACGAATCGTCTCATCATCTAGGGTGGTTCGATGTTCGGCCGATGTCGATGCAAATTAACATCCCCCATCATTCAATACAGAGGAGGCCAACTTTTTCCTAACTGCTGACTGATGAACAAACATAGCACTATTAGCTCCAATTTCACCCACTCTCCTAGCTATGGCTTCATGTTCCCTATCGGAACCCCTCTCCATCCCCCACTTACGAACGTGTGTGTTCGCCGCACAAGCCAAGTCGCGGGGTCAGGGGAGGAATCCGCGGGGAAACATACCAAAGCAATGGCGGGCTATCCAACAGGCGAAGCTCCACTGATAAGCCCAAGTGGCCGATGGAGACATTCCGAGCGAGGGCGGAGTCGGACGACGATTCCGCCAATCAAGTGGCTTATGCTCCAAAGATCGGCATCCCGAATACCGTCGGCAAGCCGGGCCCGCTTCGGCTCAGCATTTGGGAACATCGTGACAACAGCTTTGCGGTGTTTCTATGACTCGGCCATTGATTGAAGATACTGAGAGACATACCGCGAAGTGACAAGAACATTGTCCAAGGAATCTTGGAACAAGGCACAAACAATGACGCAAATCACGATCCCTGATCCGGCACAAGTTTGGCAAGATGTCGTATCTAAGAAGAGACAGCTCCGGGCTGAAGCTATCTCAGCATCCATTGGAGGCTCGACAAACAGTCCTAAAGAGCTTGAGATCACGGCTATAGCTGAAGCCTCCCAACTTGTCTCGGAAATCTCACGTGGTGAGTTGACGAGCGAAGACATTGTGAAGGCCTACATTCGGAAGTACGTGAAATACGCGCCCGCAATTGCAAAGCCTCTTCTCTTTCTGTATATCTAACGTGGAAATTGATACTGATGAGTCTTCAAATATTAACAGGGCTTCTGAGGTGCACAACAAGGTATGGCTCTCATCCGAAAGTGACGATCTCTTCGCTAACTCAAGCATGTCTTAAAAGACGAACTGGTACGTTTCGAAATTTTTGAACTTTGGCGAACCTTCTGCTTAGGCAGATATGGTACGCCTTTTTGCTCAAGATTTCGCTAATATCTGTTGCACGTCAATGTAGTCTGACGGAAATTGTGTTTGATGATGCCCTGAAGCGGGCTAAGGAGTTGGATACTTACTTCACCGAACACGGGAAGACCGTTGGGCCCTTGCATGGTGTGCCAGTCACTCTCAAAGACCAGTTTAATGTCAAAGGATATGACACAACTCTCGGCTACGTAGGGCGGTCCTTCAAACCTGCTGCAGACGATGCCGTTGTCGTAAAGATGCTTCAATCGCTGGGCGCTGTCGTCGTTGCTAAAACAAATTTGCCACAGAGCATCATGGTAAGTAGTTGGACATGTCCTTACTCTCCCTTACTACGAGTGTTCCTGCTTTGGTAAGATGAAAAGAAGCTTACATTGTAAAAGTGGTGTGAGACCGACAACCCTCTTTGGGGCCTGACCACCAACCCCAGGAGCAGGGACTATACCCCGGGTGGATCAACCGGCGGCGAGGCAGCCTTGCTTGCTTCCGGTGCAAGCATGCTTGGTTGGGGGACTGATATTGGAGGAAGCATTCGTATTCCGTCTCACATGATGGGAACTTACGGCTTCAAGCCTAGCGTGAGTCTTATTACTGGCAACTTCGGAACTCACTTGGCTCCACGTGAGAATTGACCCAGTATGGAGCCTCACTGACATCCTATTCAGAGCGGACGCCTACCCTATCGCGGAGTTCCAGTATCAACCGAAGGGCAAGAACATGTGCCTTCGTCAATAGGTCCCATGGCCCGCAGTCTGTCGACCATCCGCCTCGCCATGGAGCAGCTCATTAAAGCCAAGCCCTGGGAGCTAGACGCTCGCTGCGCACCGGTTCCGTGGCGTGAGGACTTATACAAGGAGACTTCCTCTAGGCCCTTGACTATTGGAGTCCTCTATGATGACAATGTTGTCCAACCTCACCCGCCATTGACGCGTGTTCTCCGTTCTGCTGTAGAGCGCCTGCAGGCAGCGGGCCACGAGGTCTTGGAATGGAATGCAAGCTTGCACGAAGACTGCATCAGAACGATGGTAAGTTAAATAAGTCTGTATTTGAGCGACGGTGACTGACTGTCTTTACAAGGACCTTTTCTACACGGTTGACGGCGGCGAAGATATTCGGAAAGACGTCTTGGCTGGTGGAGAGCCCTTCATCCCCCACGTCGAGAAGCTTCTCAAGCGCGGAAAGGCAATTTCAGTGTACGACTACTGGCAGCTTAACAGGTGCAAGTGGGATTTGCAGCAAGCATACCTGGAAAAGTGGCAATCCATTCGCTCGCCCAAGACTGGCCGCATGGTTGATATCCTACTGCTGCCACCTATGCCTCATTCAGCTGTACCGCATGGGGGTTGTCGATGGGTAGGATACACCAAGGTGTGGAATTTCCTCGATTACCCTGCCCTGGTTATTCCTGGAGGCCAGGTGAGTCGGGAAGACATTGATCAGCCGTGGGCGGAGGAAGCGAGGGGAGATGAGAACGAATGGAACAAGAAGTTGTGGGAGGATAACAAGGAGACAATGGCTTCTCTTAGTTTGCCTGTGGGACTTCAGATTGTTGGCCGCAAGCTGGAGGAGGAGATGGTGCTTGCGGCTGGGAAGATCATCGATGGCATCCTCAAGCATAAGAGCTAGAGTGCATATTGATATCAAAGTAGGAACTTCAAGGTTGATCGTGATTCAGAAATTCTGCTTGTTTGAATAGAGTGATACTTAGTAGGGGAATCTTAAATCTCAACGCGCACATGTTCTAGACTCATGTAGCTAGTTTAACCGACAGAACATCGCCATGGGCACATGCAACGAATAATTATACATCGGCGCGATAATTTGTGCTTTAGTTTCAGCTGAGCCTTCCTTGTGCTATAACAGGTATCTGCCAGGTAACTACTCCATCTGAAGAGTCAATAATTTGGATAGTGGTTGAACCAGTGCGCTGGCACCAGCAAAGTGGACTCGACGCTTCCAATCAAAGGTCGTTAGGAATCTTGTAACATTGCGTATCATCCTCGAAGGAGCAGCTCGGTAATAGTTTAATATTCAAAACTTGGTATTCATGAGGCTACGTCAATCTATGATTGTGTCTTCTTCCATTCCTCGTACTTCTTCATAACCTCTTCCTGGCTGGCAGGCATCAAGCCACCTTCAGGCGCAGGATTCTTGGACTTGAAATAGTCGCTCATCTATTGACACATGAGCATCAGCATACACTCTTACACATCAAAGAGTGGGGGTGGAATTTACCTCTCCCATGGTCACCCACTCAACGCCTTCGTGCTTGTTAATGTGCTCAATGATCCGCTCGTGCATGAGTAGCACGTGGGGCCGACCCGAAACATCTGGATGGATGGTCATTGGGAAGATGAACTCATCTTCGAAAACAAGGATCAGTTCACGAAGACTTATTCGTCAAACAGGAAGGGGGGGTGGGGGGGTCCCTCAACTTACCATATTCTCGGTAAAAGTAGTCGAAGTGATCTCGCCAGATGTCTTCAACATCCCTGTTGGAGGGCAAGATCAGCCAGTGCCCTCATATTCCACATGGATGTAACTCAAAGACTTACCTCGGGTTCACCCAACCGTGTGAGTTTGCGGAGTTCTTCATGAACATCATCGGGGGAAGGTCATCAATGTACCATGATCCGGGAATCTCGACCAACCCCGTCTCTTTGCCCTTTACCAAAGGCTTCATCCATTCCTCTGCCTTTTTGGTATAATCAATCTTGGTCCAGCTGTCACCAGTCCTCAACCAATATGCTTGGCAGTCGTGGTGCGACATGGAGTGATCATACTCGATACCGTAGCTCAGCATCAGCTCAGTACCTTCTTCGCTCGTCTCCCACCACGGGGCAACGCTGCCCTTGGGCGGCTTGCCGCAAAACTCTGTGAGCATCTTCCACGTCTTGTCCAGAACGTCGCGCTGCTGTTCTAGCGTCATGTCGACAGGGTTCTCATGGCTGTATCCGTGCAGGCCGATCTCGTGGCCTGCATCCCGCACCATGGCGCATTCTTCTGGGAACGTCTCTAAGGAGTGACCAGGAATGAACCAAGACGCTTTGATGTTGTACTTTTCAAACAGCTTCAAGAGTCGACGTGTACCAATGGTTCCAGCCCATAGACCTGTTCAAGCGTCGCAAGGTCAGCGGTGTAAGCCCCAACTGGTGGTGAGACTTGACGACGAAGACCCTCCATGAGTGCAACTAACCTCGACTGATGTCACTAGTACTGTCTTCACCACCATATGACCCGAGCCAGCCGGCAACGGCGTCGATATCTACACCGTAGCTACGGTAACGGCCAGGTTAGTACGCATGCATACGTGACAGCACTACCGTGTCTTGCTCGAGGGACCACTCACCAAACGAGAACCTTCTTCTTTCCCATTGTAAGTACTGATAAAGGATTGTCTTGGGGTATGATTGATTAAGTGGAAGTGGTGAATTTGTCTCTGTGTATAACCTAAACACTCTGTACCTGAAGGTAGACTTTATGCTAAGAGCTTCCTTAGTCTGTATCACTCCAGCTATCCCATGAAGCACCACCTGTCATTACTTTGATATCCAGACCAACTCGGAGGCACCAAAGCTCAAGCTCGTGGAAGCTTCCCCGCAGGCAGAAAACGTCTCCACAATGACTTGCCAGTTCGCCGTCGATTCAACTGCATCTACGCTTATCGACGCGGCATCATGTAAATTGTCCCCATTCTTGATCTTCAATGTGTGTCCTGCAGCTTCTAGACGTACAAATGCACCCACCAATTGATCCTCTAATTGGATACTGTCCTGGTTACACTGCTTGAGCATCTTTGGCTGTTGGTCATTCCACTTCTGCATTATCGTTGTTCTACTGACCAACCCCGCCCCCACTTCCACCCTTGACTTCCCCATTTTCCACTTTTGAATGTTCCCATTCTTTAAACCCAAGCAGCTTTTCGTATCTTGCAGCAAAGATAAGCGAGAGATGGCCGACTCCTTTCGATAGCCCCGCATACTCCAGAAAGGAGACCAAGGAACTCAAGATTGCGAGCATAATTTGACTCATGGAGAGTGAAGATTGGCGTTGTTACAATGCAGCGACATTTGAAGTGTAGGATGGGGTTCGGCGGCAACCCCTTGCAAGCGTTTACGTACCTGCACCGATGCTAGGCGCTAGAATGGGGGTTGAATTTGCGACCGGGTTGAACACTCGGCAAACTAACAATGCAGTGATAGTTGTGGAACGGGAACAACCGCCATCTTAAGTAATTCGCTGATAGTGTCACCAGAAAGGCACTGAATCCATGAACGTTCCGAGCTCGTTGCAAGTTTAGTTGTCAATATCGATACGCGATCTCATCTCACGCACACCGAGGCCCTATTCCGACTTTGGGAACATTACTGGAATCCTTACAAACCCCCAATCTTCTTTGCTCATTGAAACTTGCATGAGCCGTAAAGCCATCCGTTAGTATTGAAATGTCCAAGGTATGTCAAAAACTCAGTACCATCTCGAGCTAGCCAATATTGATGAATGAAGTTTTCGCTTAAAGGCCGGGTTGCTGTAGTCACTGGCGGTGGCCGAGGTTGTGGCTTGGCATTCGCCCAAGGTCTCGCCGAGGCTGGGGCAGACGTTGCCATTTTTGATCTGATAGACCCGGAGCCATCTGCCTTTGAGGAACTGTCTTCTACGAACGGGGTGAAAGCAAAAGCATATGTCGTCGATGTAACATCGATCTCCAGCTTGGAAAAGGCCTTTGCCGCTGTGGCAGCCGACTTTGATGGCAAGCTCGATATCTTCGTCGCTTGCGCCGGTGTGAACAAGAACGTTGAGTTTCTGGATACTGAAGAGGCAGACTTTGACAGGCTGTATGGGGTCAACTGCAAGGGCCTCTACTTTTCAGCAAAGATGGCCGCGAAGGCAATGATTGCCAACGGCACTAAGTGCGGAAGCATAATCTTTGTTGCAAGTATCGCATCGTACATGGCCATTCGCTCCCAACGATCCACTGCGTATTGCGGTACAAAGGGAGCAGTACGAGCGATGGTCGCTCCAATTGCTGCCGAGCTGAACAAGTACGGGATCCGGGTCAACTCCATCTCACCTGGCTATGTGCGAACAGAAATGACGGCTCCCTTTCCTGATCTACTTGAGGGGTGGAAGGACGAGATTATGAACGGCAGGGTAGCGGAGCCTGACGATATCAAGGGTGCCTGTGTTTTCTTAGCGAGCGATGCCAGCAAGTAAGTCGAACCTTTGATGAACACTCATTCACAACTGAAGTTGCTAACACTCAGAAAGATACTGCCAGGGAAGCGATATCTTGGTTGATGGTGGCGTGACCAAGTGGTAGATAGACTTTTCTCAGCTTAATCTGAACCTAAAGACATGTTCCTCTTTCTACGAGTTCGGGTGATCTACATTGCCCAGTAAGCAGTGCCACGACAATTGAGTCATTCAGTTACTACCTTGCACGTGAACAATATGCGAAATCATAACGAAGTCATCGACGATACCGAATTGGGCGCAGATGTAGTGTTTGGACATTTATTGCCTCTTTGAGACGTCTGTAATGCAGTTCCATCACTATCACTACAGCTGCATGCTTATCTCTAGTAGCATCACGTGCCGTTGACCTGCATATTGTCTCTTCAACTTTCATGACGTCTGTGTCTGACTCATCAATGCAACGAATCATCGTACTTAGTTTACAAAGAATTGCCATCCTCATCTCTCAACCCTTTTCAAGCCGCCGCTTGTCATTAATATTCGGGTTCCTAGACTTGATCGCAATGGGCCTTTTCGCCAACCTGTTGGCCATTGCCGCCGAAGAATCGCTCAAAATCTTACTCGTTGCTCCGTTGGCTACGCTTTCTATCTATTTCTTCTTCAACATCTTCCTCCACCCACTACGCAAAGTTCCGGGACCATGGAAAGCAACAATTTCTCCATTATGGCTGTGGTACCATTCATATATAGGGGATGAGACGACCTCGATCGAAGCTCTGCATCGATTCTATGGTCCAGTCGTCCGAATCGGCCCCAACGACGTTGACATTAGCGACGGCTCGGCTCTTGCACCGATCTACTCCGAGAAAGGCGGGTTTCTGAAAACAACATGCTATAGCAATTTCGACTTTGACGGTCACCCGACAATATTTTCGGCGCTAGATCCTGCACACCGGGCCCTTAGATCAAAGGCTGTTGTCAGCATGTTCAGCCCGGCCTCTATCCGAAAGGAAGGCGACCAAATACTGAGATCCTGCGTCGATAGGTTGATGGCGCATATCGAAAATGCAGCAGCTTCTGGCAAACCCGTCAACATGCTCAATATGGGCAGATGTCTAGCTCTTGATGCAGTGACGGAATACCTCCTAGGCAAGACATACGGAGGTATTGCGGAGCTGGAGGCAAGCAGAAGCACCAGGGACTCAAGCAGCCTCTCTGCCAGCGAGTTCGTGGACACCTTTGTCGCAGTTGGAAGATTCTTCTTGCTTCCTAGTTGGATCTTTCACGCCCTCGAGTGGGCTCGCCCGAAGTTGTTTCCGGATCAGAAGGTCGACCAGTCGATGGAACTCGTAACAAAGTTCTGCGATCAGGTCGTCGCCGAGGCCGACTTGGAGAAAGACCAAACGTACCAGGCTCGTTTACTGCGAGCTGGCATCAGCGAAGAAGAAGCTGCTGTTCAGTGTATGGATTTGATGTTTGCCGGCACAGACAGCACTGGCATGAATTTTGGTGCTATTTGCTGGCATTTGGCACAGTCGCCCTCAATCTATCAGAAGCTCAAAGACGAGCTTGCATTGCCAGAGGTATCGCAAGCCGACCCGCAAACTCTTCCCTACTTACGTGGCGTGGTGCGCGAGGGTCTTCGAATGTCAATGGCAAATCCAACTCGTCTTCCACGCGTTGTGCCGCCCAGCGGATTCACATTCGCAAGTAAGATGCCTTCTGGGGAAACTGTGACTTTTGAGTTCCCAGGCGGAACCTGGATTGGATGCGCACCATTTAGCCTGCATTTCAATGATGCTGTCTTCCCTAATCCGCATGAATTTCAGCCAGAACGATGGCTTGAGCCTAGCGAGGAAATGCTACGCGATGCCATCCCATTTGGACTTGGACCGCGGCAGTGTATTGCTCGGAACCTTGCTTCAAGTGAGCTCTTCTGGGCAGTCAGGGCACTAGGTATATCTGGGGTGCTGGATGGGGCTAGAACAACAGGGCTGATGAAGGATGGGATCATTGTTGACGAATGGTTCAACTCAAAAGTTCCTGGGCATGCTATTGAGCTGATATGGGAATCATCGTAGTATGGACTTGTAACACAACGTCATTAGGATGAATTGGGAATATCTTGGTATCAGCCTCGGAGACAGTCCATCACCTCTCATTGTCAAGCTATGTTATGAAGGCGAGCGGGGCCAAAGGCTAATCGAGTTTGTATTCACATCCAAGCTGGTCTGCAATCGAAAGGCTCTGAAATAGGTTCGGGAGATGAACTATACAGCCATATACTTGTTAACAACGAACGCAAGGCGTCCTGCTGGTCCGCCGCAAACCCCTTGACCGAACTTTCGGACGGAAATTAGATCGGGGCAGTTGACCGCGAAATTTCGATTTCAAGTATTTGACGCTCTGCGTCAAATATCCTATGTAGACGTAGGATGCTAAGGATGCTTTGACCATACCGGCTAATATTTCAACGCGAGTCGTGTGGGTTGGCCCGAGTCGCCCGAGTCGCGGGACCGGCTTCACGGCCCCAGTTTTACGTTTCGACACGGACATACGGACCGAAGCGGACGAAACCCGGACGAAAATACGGGCGAATATGGGACCATGAGGCCGCAATTATGCAAAAGCTGGATCTTTTCTGTGTTGGCCCCCACAGCTAACAAAACCGCTAAAATCGCTCAGGGCCAAGATGACGGGAGGAACTCACTAACTGTCACTACTTGTACAGCAAAGATCTCGCATCCATACACATCTTCCGCCCAGGAAAACAGGAATCACAGCTCGGAAGCCGTATCTTCCCTATTCACTACTATCAAAGCCCCAGCCCTCCATGAATCGCAGGTGGATCTTGACTGGCCAGAGAGGCTTTGAGAAAAGCCTCAAGTACGAGGAGAACGTGCCGCAGGCCGATAAGTTGGCAGCTCACGAGGTTCTGGTGGAGCTGCACGGTGCTAGCTTGAACTATCGCGAACTCGCAATCGCAGACACAACAGTAAGCGAATCTCAGCATTGCGGACATCCATGTTCTGACAGTCATATAGGGTACGGCAGCTACCGCCGGCGTTATTCGACAACACGTCGTGCCTGGTTCTGATGGTGCCGGCATTGTCAAGGCGATTGGCAGTGCCGTAACAGCCTTTAAGACCGGTGACCATGTCGTCACTCACCTAGCTCCCAAACATGCCGAGCGTTGCGGGGATTATGAGTTGCCGGTTTACCAAGACATTGTGGATGGTCTTGGCCAGACTATTGACGGAACTCTACAATCAGAAGGCAGATTCACAGAAAGCGGGCTTGTTCATGTCCCTACATCTCTTGGGTGGCCGGAAGCTGCAACTTTGACTTGCAGCGGCCTCACCGCCTGGAACGCACTCTTCGGCCTCAAAGGTAGAGAGCCTCAATCCGGTACATGGGTGCTTGTTCAAGGAACAGGTGGTGTGAGCATTGCCGCGCTTCAATTGGCGGTAGCTGCTGGAGCTACCGTCGTCGCCACGACATCATCCGCAGAAAAGGAGGAGAGGCTGAAGGCACTCGGCGCAAGCCACACTACTAGCTATCGAGACAACCCCGAGGACTGGGGTGTCAAGACGAGGAACTTCACTCCAAATCAGGATGGCTTCGACATTGTTGTCGATGTTGCCGGCAACGACTCACTATCTCAATCGCTCACCGCGGTGAAGACAAATGGTGTGGTTGTCTCTGCAGGCTTGGTCGGAGGCAAAGCCGAGGCTGTGCCCATGCTGGCTGCTCTCATGCGCCCATGCATTGTCAGGGGCGTGATCTTGGGAAGTCGGGCACAATTCCAAGATATGATCCAGTTTATCGAGGAGAAGAACGTCAAACCGGTTATCGATGACAAGACTTTTGAGCTCGCGGAGGCAAAGGCTGCTTATGCGCGATTGAAGGAGAAGAAGCACTTCTCCAAAATTGTTATCAAGATTGACCACTGATGTGTGCACTGGCCGAGTTTAAGTATAAATAGGCGCAATCTGTTTCCAGTTCCTGATAGACTCCTAAAATATTTGGGAAGCTTCCATTGTCCTCGGAATACGATTTCCCTGGAATCCCACATGAACGCCGGCCATTGCTGTGTGATAGTTCCACACGGGTTGCTGTCGTTGCGCTTAAAACGCACCAGACACGAACTCAACCCAAAACATGAAGGGATATCCCTTCCATCTGTGAAGCTGTCAAACGAAATCAGTAGAAGAACGCGAGAAAAGATGTCTGCTTCCGCATCAATGGCAGTCAATCCACTCAGACACATGAAAGACATTTAAGACTTCTGCATTCTCCGCTCCGACAAGGGCTGTACCGTGTACGACGCGACAACAACACTAGGAAATTCACCACGTTTGGTGTGACCATCGGTAGCTTTGTCGCGACTTCGGTGTAACCCAATCAGCCAATGGTAGACTACAGGAAGTCTGTATTTGCCGTCGTTGGAAAGTTGACCGGGTACATGGTGTTCGTGGTGCTCGCGGGTGTGGTCTCACTAACCGGGTTCGCACATTTCTCACACTCGGAAAGTCGCCGTCTTGGCATGCCCAAGGAAAGTATGCATTCCGTCTGAACATGTTGAGAATATCCAGAGAATGCGACAGTTGACAAGCGCGTATCCTTATTATATGCATTTCCAATTGATCAGGTCAGGTCTCAATGAGGGCATTCCCCAGTAATTGGGGCTGAGGACCGGACCAGATTGGTTTCTCCCTTGAGCGACGATAAAGCTCCAAGAAGATACGAAAGAATGACCTAAACAGGTATAACGGCTGAGAAACTTTGAGTGTGAGGCCCTCGACGGTTTTCCAACTCAGACAAGTGGCGCAGGGCAGTAAAACTCCCTAGCATTTGGAGAAGCTTCAAGTGAAACATTGTGGCATGCAGAAAGTGCACCCTGCGCCCCGTGTCTAAGTCGGGAAACTCTTGTGACCTTTATACTTTAAGCCTCGCTTTCGAGTCTTATCATCGCCTTTCGGGTCTTTAATTCTCAGTATTTTCCCCACGATTCAGCATTACCTTGGACACAATCAAGAACTTGTCCGCAAAAAGGTCCATTAGTCTCTACTTTTGTTGACATATCTTCCACATCGCGAAGATGGAGAACATGAAGCTTGAGGATCCGGAGGCGGCCCATCCAATGCTCAAGCAGCCGCTTGAAAGGGTACGGGATTGGTTTTCCGGAGTCCGGGCTGGGGAATCGCATTACGGCTTGCTTCAAGGCAATGAAGCGGGCTCATCGACAGACCTGCCGATGGCAGAATCATCAGGGAGGTCATCGCCCTTTTCAAGACTTTCGACCAGCTGGCGCCCTATGAGTCCAAAGGCCTTCTTCTGGGTACTGGTGCCATCTTACATCGCTCGCATTTTTGGCCACGCCACGGAGAACTCGATAATCCCAGCTCCGAACAAAACATCCTATCTAAATGGTCTTCGCGGCATCGCGTCACTTATCGTGGCCCTTCAACACACGATAGATGGAGATGTAAGTGATGAAGAACTCTTCCCGCCCAACGACATTTGTTCAGATGCAAGCGTCTGCATTCATCTGCTATCTGAACAGTTTGAAGCTTTGCTTTGAATTAATTTGACTGACCATGATATCACGCAGTATCCGCTCATTCACCGCGCATGGGGCGATAGCGAAGAAAGTGTCTACGTGGTCCAGCTCCCGTTCATCCGCCTCATACATAGCGGAGTCTTCATGGTATCGGTTTTCTTCGTCATCAGCGGCTTTGCTCTCACGTATGGGCCCTTGAGCAAGTCTTACGCAGCCCAAAGCGCGCCAGGCGTTCAAGGCCCAAACCCCATCAGCTCTTTTCCATCTAGCATCTTCCGGCGTCCGTTCCGACTCTTCCTCCCGACTATACCTATCATCGCGGTTTCTACCGCTCTGGTTCCCTTCAGCGCATTTTATGCCCTCAACAGCACCGAACCTATGGGTCCTGTTGCCGATGGCTTCTGGAGCCATGTATACTACGTCTGGACCACGTTGATAACCATCATCACCTCCGGCTCGGCCAATACTGTCATGCCTCAGGGCTGGACTCTGGCAGCCGAGTACCAAGGATCGCTGCTTGTGTTCCTGGCTTGTATGGCTTTCATTAGAATGTCACCTATGGTGCGATTGCCAGCCACTGTCCTACTTCTCATCTACTCCTTCAACCTTCAGAGAGCAACGAACTGTCTGTTTATCGCGGGAATGTTCATCGCCGATTTCCGACTTTTCCGGGCGAAGCTGCCAGACTTACCAAAAATGGTTCGTACGGCCGTCACCGTCACATCATGGCTGCTGCTTGTGCCCATTATCTTCTTGGGCTGCTGGCCGATGCATGGCGACGCTACCCAAGCCCCTATTTATTCGTGGTTTGCTGGCTTCAACACGTTTGGCTTCGGTGTGCATCCATTCTTCCAAGGCACATGTGCCGTAGCTCTGGTACTAGTATTGGAGAACCTGCCTGTCTTACAGCGTGTTCTCAATACGAAGCCGGTACTGTACCTGGGAGAAGTCAGTTTCAGTTTCTACTTGGTGCATTGGGGCTGCGGTAAGAATTTCCTCAGTTATGGTCTGAAGCTGAAGATGTTGGCAGCCGGGTACAGCTTGATCGTTTCGTGGAGCACGCTTTTCGTTATCGCCATGCTGTCGATCATAGTGCTCGGGGATCTTCACTGGCGGCTTGTTGATCAGAAATCCGTGACCTTTTCACATTGGCTAGCCAAGAGACTTGGTGTATCGTAGACTTGGGGAACAGGACTGGACAAAATGTTTTCTTTGTGAAATCTCAGCATTGCCATCAATGATCCTTATCTCAAATTTCTTTAAATCACACTTTGCTACATGCTTTTGAAAATTTGTTTACATGCTCCTCTAATAGCGACGCTTCACGCAACAGCGATTTGCGCTGGTTGAGCCTCCTGAGCCTTTACCTTGTTAGCCGTCGCTTGCTCCAGACCCTGTTTGTACAGTTGTGCCCTTCCATACGACTCTGCATACGAAGCAGAGACTGCTTGCTCAACCGTGACCGGTCCAAATTTGGCTGGCTGCGTCGCTGACTTGCAAGTGGGGATGCATTCAACCAGGTAGTCTGGGTTGCCAGAAACGAAAACGGGGATTGAGTAGCGCTCCTGGCCCGACTTGTTGATGACCCTGTGAATGTTGCTCTTGTACAACTCGTTGGTCCATCTTGCCATGAGATTGCCCAAGTTTACAACAAAGGCACCTTCCGTTGGTGGGACCTAAGAGTGGCTGATTAGCATTATTGAAATATGAAGTGATTAAGAGCGGTGCTCTGCAGTAGGGAGTGGGGGTTCCACTTACGTCGATCCATGTCTCGTTCTTCTTGTCCCATACCTGCAGGCCGTCGACCTCATCCTGAAGCAGCATGGTAATGGCTCCGAAGTCAGTGTGGGCACCGATTCCGCGAGTCAACTTCTCGTCCGCATCCTTGGGTTGAGACGGGTAGTGCAGAAGTCTCATTGTCGCTACAGCTCCATCCATGAACTTGGAAAAGTAGGTCTCCTCCAGGTCCAATGATAGTGCAATGACCCGCATGAGGTCCGAAGCAAGTTTGAGAGCCGAAGAGTAGTACTCCATTGAGGAATCCCTGAAGCTCTGCAAGTCGCTACCCAGACCCTCGGGCCACTGGTTTGGTCCACTGTTGAGCTTCTTGTTGATGAAGTAAGGGTGGTCCTCAGGGATCTCGGCACCAATGTAGAAGCCTTCCTTGAGTTCTGGTTGAGTTCCCTCCTCAAGGATCTGTGATCTCAACATCTCGTAGCCGCGGTTCCATGTCGTGTTCTCCTTAGCGACCTTTTGCTTTTCTTCGAGAGGCATAGCAAAGAACTTCTTGGCACCGCTCATGGCAGCCTTCTGCTGCACCAGAGGCACGGAGTGGCCAACTATCTGGAAGAAGCCATTGTACAGGCAGCTGTCACGCACTTGATCTACGACCTTTTGTTTCTGAAGAGGGTCTTCAGAGTAGAAACCTAAGGGTGGATATCACTGTTAAGACCAAGCTAACCTTTTTCGGCTGCTGCAGCACGAGGTTCTTTGCAGACTCACCAGAGAAGTCAATGATTGGAATTTCGAGCGCTGCCATGTTGCCTTATTGGAGTATTTCCAGACGGAAGATGGTATCGTCTTTGAAAATACCTTGATCTGATGCTATGATGTTGGCTGATCGCAAGCTTATGGGTGCCGGTGTCATATGTCTTTAGAACATCACTCAATCTTGTCGTAATAGATCTTTGCTGATATAGTTGAAGTTGCTTCATGAGATGCCTGGAACCCTGCTCACTCAATTCATGTGAGCCTTAAGGTCATCCACCCCTCTCCCTTCGCGTCTCGGCTCCTCGTGCTCGCCCAGACTAGACTCTTGAAGAGTGGGGTGCAATGATAGCATCTGGTGTGGTCGCACCATCTCACGGCATCGCCCGAGAGTAAGTTCGACAGCTCGAAATTGATACCACCTTACTCACTGATAAGCGTTGGTCACACTAAGGACGATTACTCGCCGTGGATGGTGTTCCGTTCTCGGCCTCCATTTCTCCCCCGCCGGAAAACCCACTTTCCCCTCATGCTACGGATAGATAAGATCTACTCCAAGATAGCTCCTCCGAGGGCCCAACAATTTCTCCTGCATATGCATACTCATGCGAAGAGTTCCTTTGCAGGATCAGAGGTCATAGTAGAAGCATGTTGATCGCCATGCAACCCGGGCTTGCAACTACGTCGCACTAAAGATGGATTGGGAGTTCGGTGAGGGCTGTAAAGTTCAGCGAATCGTAACCGCAATTTTCGATGCTGTGCATGCTTGGAACCCCACTCTTGGTGATAGTCTTTCTAGAGTCATGTGGCGACTGGACTTCAGGCCAGAATCCCATACGAATCTGCAACCAAGCTGGAAAGCTGGAGACTAAGTCCCAGTCAATTTTGAGAGGGCAGGGTTTACAGTATTTTTCTAGAAGCAGCAACAAGACCTGACTGACCTACGCACACACCAATGCTCTCGCCGCCGTAGCTCAGTCATCGGCGCTACATCACAAACAAGTCACCAACCTAGACAGAGGAAAGGAATGCTGTCGTAGAGAACTGGATTGCAATTTCGTTTGAAAGGGTAGAAACCCAGATGCTAGGAAAGTCACGAGGCTAAACCAACGCTGAAAGTTCCATATGCCATCATACATCGTATTCCGTACAGCCAGGCCGTGCCGATATTGATCATCACATGCACCAACAGAGCGTATGGCTCACCAGGCTAGTTCCTCTCGGCCACCACAGTTAGCTTTCTCGAGTTCCGAGCAGAAAGCCTCGTCTTCATTCAGTTTCCCTGTGCCCGTCTGGCCGAGTAGGTTGGGCGTGGCTGGCCAGATTTCTCGGCCTCCTTGCTCCAACTCCCTTTGCCGGTGCTTCATCACCTCCTCTCGAACCGTGTTTTGAAAATGAATCGGACCCTGAGCGAATGTGTCAGTATCGGACTGTAGTGCTGGGAGGGTATCAAGAGTTCCTTGCCGTACCCTCTCTTTTTCTGGATGAAGCTCGCCGCTAATGAAGACGCCAGCACTGAGGTTTTCCTGTGCGCCAATGCACAACTCTCGGTCTTCCTCTAATACCTGCTTGTAGAACGCATTGATGGCGGCGAAATCGGCATCGGTGGAGTCGTGAGAGCGATACACCTCGTTCTCGATTCGGGTTTTGGTTGCGCTGATTGGAATCATTCGCTGGATGTAGAAAAAGTTCTGACTACAGGTTTCGTCAGTTTCTGCCCTTTTGTGACTTCTGAATCTTGACACGCGTTATAAGGTCACTTACGTGATCGTCACTGAAGTTGAGGGGTAAAAAAAGGTGATCGAGCGTCGAAACTCGTCTTCCTCGTCTTGAGCCTTCTTGTTGATGATCTCGTGCTCCAAGCAACCTCCACTTGGCTTTACTTGATATTTCGTCAAGTCCGACACTCCCGCAATCAAGGGGTGTGATGTTGGGCAATGGTAGCACTCGTTGTAATTCTCAATGACGGCCTTCCAGTTGGCCTCCAGCTCCATATCCCAGACGTGGTCATAATTGTAGCCTCCTGCAAAGTCAAAGTTTTGCATACGCGGCTTCTGGTAAACACCGCCAAACTCGTCTTCCCACTTGACGTCTGGTTCGCCTGCTTGGAGGTTAACCCAAATGAAGCCAGCGGGATCCACGCGAACGTGGATTGGGAGAAGGCCATTTTGGCTCTTGTCGAAGCCGGTTACCGTATCGAATCTCGGCGCTTTGGCAAGATTGCCCTTGAACCCGTATGACCAGCCGTGGTACTTGCAGCTTAGTATGCTCGCCTTGCCAGACTTCTTCTCGACGACAGGATATGCTCGGTGGCGGCACACATTGTGAAAGCCGTTGATATTGCCATCGCGGTCTTGGACGAGGAAGAAAGGGAAGTCGGCGTAGACGAAGGAGACAAACTCGCCCGCTTGTTTGAAGCGTAGCGAATGTGTCACCAGGATCCACTTTCTTGATATAATTGCTCTTCTCTCGAGCTGATGCAGTTCTGGAGACCTGTACCACGAAGCTGGAAGACTTCGTGAAGGCTCTGGCTTGGCGTCGTTACTTGCCGAAGAGAATCCAAGGAAACGCAACATGTCGTTGAGGCTGAGATGCAATGAATTGTGGGTACTTGTTATAGAAGACGCAAACAACTGTTGCAACGAAGTCTTTGATTGGGATCACAGTCTGAAAACTATGGGTACTGCATCTCTAATCCTGTCTCCCCTCGCGTCTTCATGTTTGATGACCTCTGCTACTTTAAGACCGCAATTCGGAGGCATGACTTTAGGCCAAGAATTAGTCTAATCCGTATGTATCAGAGGTGGGGAAGATGCTTTGGTGAGTTGCTTGATAATGCTATTGAGAATGGGGGTGGGGTTGGTGGCTATTAGGCTGAGGGGGCCGGACACAAGCATCCGGATGTTGATAAGGGGGCCTATAGATCCGATAAAGGCAAGTCGAAGCAGGTCGGGCGCCGGAATTCAATTGCGATGGCCACCCAAACGCGCGGGGTATCGACAAGGTGGCAGATAGTGATAGAGTAATTTTACCTATTTCAGTCGAAAATGGTGAGTTGACACATATGATAAATAACAAAAAGATCATATTGGTCGCTGGCACGAGCCTGGGAAAGGAGAAGCCGCGTCTAAGCGAAGATGGCGACGATTCGAAGTGCGCAAGACCAAGTGTCGACCTCGATTATGGCTAGATTGAGGCTTTACCATTTCCTCAGTCTGAGACTACTACTGCTACCCCACTACAAAGACCAGCGAACATTTCTTTTGATCCCAGTCGTGGAAACATGTGATATACGGGAGTAACTACATGCAAGTGCCTACGTTTAGACGACCCATCTAAGTCCTATGGTGCTTCTCGAAGTAATCACCACATGACACAGAACCGTAGTAGGCCACATGCAATGATTTTAGTACGCGACTCTATGGATTGCACTTAGGTAAAGGCTGATCTAATATGAGGACTTGCTCGAAGTATAAGACATCAATGTCAAGCTCCAGCAATCAACTATCATCAGAATTTGACGCATCTACTTAAGTAAGATCATTGTCACCAAAATGTCCCCGGCTCTTTGCCCAAAAGACCGAAGAATAGCACCACTAGACTTGGAGCACAGTCTCTGCATTCTTGCCACTTCAAACTTCGGAAAGAGGTCTTTGATTGGATGAAGAAGTCAGTCGGTCTCCCTGAAAAACTGGAATCTACTATCCTTCAGTCTATGAACACGTGCACAAAGTCGGATGCGGGCGGCGCAGCCTGAAATGCCCGACCCGCATTGGAATTCCATAAGTTTGAAATTGGTATCACAGGCTGCCTCCCACAGGTTCAACTTAGCCAAATTCTGCGACAGAAGCCGTTTTGTGGCATCAGGCAGAATGGCTTTCGAATTGGGCCGCCAGGCTCGATGGTTCGCCCGCGTCCAATACGTCAAGCTAATGTGATTCGCTGTGGCACCAACTCTCCTCATATGTAAGCAATGCGGACGAAACCGCTGACAGGAGCTCGCGCTGACCTGTCATATGACATCTCAAGAAAGCCTGAAGCAGGCTGCAGCTCGGTCTCGTGAGCCACCGCCGAATCGAGCCACAAGTTGTTGTAAAGGTTGCCATATGTCATGATGCAGGCGGTGCAGCGGCTTTGCTTGGACGGCTGGGCTTGAGAGCGCCTTTGATTTGGCAAAAAGTGTGGCTCAACTATTAACAATGCCCAAATTGTTGAGATCTGACTGCCTTGCGCGGTGATTCGCCAATGGACGAGACCAGATCGAGCCAGACGCGTGGTTTCACTGCCCGGTTCCAGCCCAAGGTTGCCTTGCCTGATTTGACCCTCCACGTTGGCCAAGTCGGCTTTTTATTCCATTTCGCATTGTGACTCTCATGTAGGGGCGCTGTTGTGCTCTTGAGTCATCAAGGACCGGATGATTTCGGGGGCGTTTGATATTTGGCTATTATAAGAACCCGTTCCCCTCTTGACGAGGCCTTCCTTTCCGCGAAGAAACCGCCTAAGAGCCTTGCGTAAGGTATTTCACCATCAGATCGACCAGTTTTAGACGACAACATGACGCATCGAAAGCATGCCACCAAAGGCTCTCGGAAGAGTAGTCCGACTCGAGAGTCGCCAGCAGATACTTCCAATGTAGGAGCAGCCTATGAAGAATACTATGCGGCCCCAACTCCCGGCCCTTGGTCGTCATGGGTCCGCGATGCTGAGGGCAGGGGATTCTACTACAGAAGCCGAATGAGCGCCATAGGTTTGTTTGAGTCTCTTTCACCAAAGCATGTCGCTTATTTCTGACAATGTGGTAGGAGATATTGAGTGGGACTTTTCGCGCTCGCCAACGTATCGGAGTTATAACTACATGCAGCCATTGCCACGGATGTCCTACTATCAGCAACCCATCAAGACAAGCCCGAATCCAGCAACTGCATTCACATACACGTTCCGTTATCCGTCCAACTCAGCACCGCGGGAAGACCGGCCGACAGCAGGATCTGACTTTTCCCACGATGCAAGCGACGAAGAGTCATTTCCAGCCGCGAGCTCCAGTGTTTTGATACCCGCCATCATCGACGTGGACACCAAGAACAATGTCAAGGTTATGGTTCCGGATCCCAGAACCGGAGAAGCGAAGACAATTTATGACAACAGGCATAAGCATTCCCATAAGAAGAAAATGAGCCCGCAACACAAGGTTGAGAACTGGCTGCACAGAGGGTAGATTAAACTTGGAGAAGGCACAGTTGCTGTCTTTGATATCCATGATCAGTGGATTGATCTTGTCAATACCTTATGTACGAACACCGATTTACGGGAGCAAAAGCAGGGATTTGACTCACATTAGTAGAGATGTCCTTTGCAGAGTCAATGGTTTTAAGATAGGTTTGAATCGCATAATAAAGTACATACAATTTGGACTCTTCCTGCAATCATCCCATACACAGGCGGTTCAGGCATTACGGCCTCCCAGGACACGCATTCATTATAGCTCGTGCATCGTGACGACAGAACACCGTTGATTACATTTCAACGTGTGACTTCTTGATCTCGCGTCCTCGTGAGACCGACGTGATGTGTGGCTGGAGTCCGGCCCCCAGACTAAACGCGCTAAGGTGCCCCATCCAGTGGGTTGGGCTAATCGAAGTTTCTTGGTCTATAGAGAAGAGGCAGCTAGTCGTGAAGATTGGTGGTCCACAGATCATAGATCCATAGCCTATCTTGGATAAGGCTTTCTCCCAGACCTTATTATTTTCTGAGATATTGGTTGGCAAAATTCCCAGTTCGGGCCAGTTCCCTATATTCACTGCGGTGCACCCGTACTGCTAGAAACCGTTCTTTAAATAAGACTTGGCCCTTAAATCTGACTCACATTTTAGTTCGCGTTTATTTTCAATTGGTTCTAGGCGTAATCCTTCGTCGATACACTTATCCAATGCCTGTAGCCACACCATTCTGTAATCAGGATGGCCATAATGGCTCGTGCCAAAATTTCCAGGTGCAGCCTATTATCCGCGCCCAGAGTAGCCTATTCGAAAGGGCCTTCTGTCAGACCCTTAAGTATTTGATCCCTTCGACCCGTCCGTTCTTCGAAATATTCCCGAAAGGTGTCTCACAAATCTGCCACAAAAATTCCTGTCCTAGGTACTCGCCTTTGAACTTGCGACCATGCCCGGAGGCTTGTCTCCCGCGGGCTTCCGCCCACGGAGCTCAAGCCAAGTGAGGGTGTATTCCCACGAAGAAATCATCTTTCCAAAACTCTACGAAGAGGCATGGGGCAGCGATGGGTTCGGCGATAATCGAACGGAGCTGGAACGAGCCAGAATCTTCCTCATGCGGTTTGCGAAGATGAATCCTGATCCATTTACGAGCCAAGAGCTGCAATCAATCGTCATGAACCACGAAAATCGGACGATACCGGCGCTAGCTCTTGCAGTGCAGATGAGGATCTTTGGAAATCGCCACGATAGCTTTGCGGCGACGCCTCTTCTGCAATGCATACGATTTATGCTCTTGAAAGCCAGGGTCCCAGAGTTCATATTTTCGGACAAAACGAAGCTTATTATGGATTTTTACTTCGATCCAACGATGGCAAGAAGCATTGAGCCTCCACCACCAGATGGTATCGTCTACAAATATCCCTCCGGTCGTCTCAAGATTGCTATTGTAGGCGGTGGGCCAACAGCGCTAGCATCAGCAATATCTCTCGCCGAGAAGGGTGCTGGGAAAATTCAGGTTCACGTCTACGAAAGGCGGTGGGTCGTCAAAGATGGGCCGAGGGGACCTTATATCGACTACCCCTCGACAGCCAGGCGTCGTGATCAGGTTGTCACGCTACAAGAGTCGGTCACGACGTTGATGAGTAAAGCAACTCAGCAGGCATTGTTTGAAGGTCGTCCAGAACGAGTCTGGCCGGGCTCAGCCAATATTCAGATTCGCAAAGTCGAGGATCGTCTTCTCCGGAGATGTCACGCCGCTGAATTTCAGGATCTCATTCACCTCCACGCGGAAGGTGTGACGCATGAAGATATGGTGAAGATTGGCGACTTCCATGTTCTTCTGGGAGCCGACGGAGCTGCATCGTGGGTCCGCAAATCGTATTTCCACGGATATGAAAATGAACGTGGGCGAAGTTATGCCCTGGGCCTCGCATTTGATCGGCCGGCCGGTCTGCCATGGTCGCAACCCCTGAACGTCTTCTTGACTCTGGGTCAGACTCGGTATCTCCTGAACGCTAGTGACTACGATGGACGTGGATACCTCAACATGCAACTCACAGAGGCAGAGTGGCACAAGATGCTCGCCAAGGATGGCCAGCCAGTCACCTTTGGATATCCTGGCTGCCTCCGAAACCCCGATGGGACTATACCGAAAGGCTTCACAGAGAACCAGGTCTTTGCACCTTCAGAAGACAGAGAGAGTTCACTATGGAGGTCAATTTCTGACGGCCTCAAGCTCTTCGGCTTCAAAGAAAGCGAGGTCATCAATGTCGTCCGGATTCCAATTGTTGTCCAGGCTGTACGAGAAGGCATCCAGTATCTGCCGCCTTGTGACTCGGGGGCGATCAATCGGCCACATGCCCTCG